GTGCGTGAGAAAGCCACAATTGTGACCGCTTGGTGACATGCCGCCTTTCAGATCTGGTAGCGTCCATGTGGGATACAAAACTCGTGTGGTGGTCGCGTATGTCCCGCATGTATACTCGCCGTTTCGGACTGCACAATTGTGAGCCCTTATAACCTCCAGCCCTCCGGTGGCACCGGTGCTCTGCAATCGTCGATGGCTCTGAGCATGGCTATTATTTCTAAAATCCCGTCTGTGGCTGCTGGTTTGACTTGGCAAAGACACCAACTACAGATGGTGAGAAAATGTACTTTAGCCTGTCAAAAGATTTTTAAAATAGATCATACATAAGATAGCGCCGAGGCACTGTGTAACGCCCGCGGCCTACACCGGCGTGCAAACCTAAAGCCAACTTCGTCACATTTGGGAGTGCACCGCACCAAGACCCACTCCCTCGACCGCCACAGGGGAGGCATCTGGGAAAGAAGGATACGATCTATTCGGAGAATACTGAGATCGTTACTTGGTGAGCAACTGGTAACCGAGGAAGTTCTTGTGACTGTGCTAACCGAGGTGGAAAAAATCATTATTGATCGATATACGACGAAGTTATCAGATGAACCTCTCGACCTTGGGGCACTCACAACTAATCACCTCATATTACTCCAGGGTAACCCTCTAGTCGAAAGATCACCTTGATCGAACATGAAGCTAACTCGACGATGGCGCCAGGCACAACAGTTAACCGACACTTTCTGGGTCCGGTGGATAAAGGAATACTTACCTACGCTGCATCAAAGACACAAGTGGGTGGGATCTGGCCGTCATCTTAAGGCGAGGAACTGGGTTCTCTTAGTCGATACGTCCGTATCTGGGGGTTCCTGGCCAAAGGGAGTTGTACAAACGGTTACGCCAGGAAAAGATGGACGAGTTCGTGACGTCATGGTTCGAACGGTGACGGGACTCTTGAAGAGAGATTTTCGACATTTGTGTCTTCTCGAGCAAACCACTGAAAAACAAAGTCCACCGTTGACACCGCGGGAGTGTTAATTACCTGACGTAGTTATTTGTTTCCCTATTCCTCAGGCTAGTTCATCACCCTTCCGTGACTGCTCAAGTTTCAAGACTGAACCGTTCTATTTTATACAAAGCCGACTCTACCACAACCATTTCTATAGACGATTTGTTTACATTTATCCATGGACTTGTTGAAATTTTGTTCCACTTTGAACTGAACAATTTTCCCGCTTAATTTGTCCGATAGCACGCTGCCCTTCGTGTGCCATCCTGTGTTGCTAACTGCCCAAGGTTCAATCTAGCCGTAAGCCTTTCTTTAACTCTCCTCATGATTTACTGTTAATTTCCTGTAGAACCACGGTCTACCTATCTGTACTGTCTGCCCAAGTCCAATTCAATATATTGTTCACTGCCCAATCGCGACTACTGAACAAACGCAGGTGAAGTTCGTAGGATTCGGTTTCGCCGCAATTATTACTGACCGTCCGCTGGTGAATTAGACTACACGGTACCTGTCAGATGGGACACATAGATCGTGCGTTAAGGCTAAGTAACCTATTTCTTGCTTTGGGATCACAGCCTTAGCGCAGGATCGTACAACACCTTTCAGTTAAGGCGCAGCGCTTAATGGTGCGGATGCCACTCACATCCGAAAAACCCGAAGTGTTTGGAACAAACAACTCGAATAATTCGGCAAGCAGCTCATGGACCGCAGTGGTCTTACGGGGCAAGTTTTCTCGGTATTTTATAATTTGTTCCTAGTCAACAGTATTTCACGCACCTGAGGCTTATCGCAATAGAGTGCCATCAGGGAACATTTTTCCGGTCAGAGAAGATACAAGTGACGAAAAGAGACGCGCCATCAAATCTTCCAAAACCTGTGATGGGGTCTTGCTGTTGTTGTAGATTCCGTAACTCAGTAATTGTAGCGATCTTCGGCAATCCGCGCGCCCCAACAAACATCAGGTACATCGTGTGACTGCAGACGTTAGGACGACTACAAACGTCATATAACCCTGTCATCTAATGCCACTTAATACTGTCGATTCAAACCTGCGGCCAAAAGACGTCTGCTTAAAAAACCCACCCGGGAAGTTGGCACCGTGTCACCAGCTCAACAAATTTAACTGAAAGAACAATGCGTCATTTGCCGAGATTGACAGCGGCAAATTGCACGCCATAAGCTAACTGGGGACCAGGCAAACAACTACCTATTTAACAGCAGAAACTAACATCTTACTCGATAGTTGTAGCAGTTTTAATTCGGTCAGCACTTTTTTGGGCCTACCTTTGACCTTCTGATGTACCTACCTAAAGACGTAACTCCGAGCCAGGGGATGATTATTAGCCAAATTCTTTCAGATCAAGGTGCAGGTTGATCAGGAACCTGCTGAAGAGAAAATCGTTGACTAGACGATCTCAAGACGTCGTGACCATAGGGACTTCTTACTTGCAACATTTAGTCTTCACTGGCTATCGGGTGTAGCATGCACAGACCGTTGCCAACCAGTGCACCACAGGTGCCAGTCCGGGTTTGATCTGAGACTAGAAGGATCAATAACTGGCTGAGCGCTCAAACCGTGCGCACATGCAACGTAAATATGCTTCAACTACCCCAAAAAGATTTGCCGAAGGTGAAGAATGAGAAAATCGGGGTCAAACCGATCCTCTGCTCAGCTATCCGCCGCCTAGTATTCACACAATGAAATTTATTTCTCGAAAGCTACGGAACATTCAGGCTTGCCACTTCATAGTGTTTATGTATGGGTATATGTTCTTGTATAATTAAAAATCATCTATGGCAATTTGTTTAAAAGAGCGAATCC